AATGAAGCCGAGCTCGGCTCGGCACCTGCAGACAGATGGTCAGACGGAGCGAACGCACCAGAGCGCTCAGATGATGTTGCGTACGCTCATCCGTCCCGACCAGAAAGATTGGGTTGACCGGCTTCCCGACATGGAGTTCGCCTACAACACTTCGGTGCACCCAGCGATCTGCGTCACACCATTCGAGCTACATCATGGTGGAGAGAAAGCACGGATCTTCGCTGATCTCCTTTTGCCACAGGCTGCCGACATAGACGTCCCTTGCTCTCCCGTTTCCATCCTGAAGTACCGGGACTTGCTGATCAAAGCCCGCGCAAATATGCAAAAGGCTCAGATCCGCATTCAGCAGCGAGCTAACCGACGTCGACTTCCATGTCCTTTCCGCGAGGGAGACCTTGTTTGGGTCCTCTCCGAGGAATTTGCGCTCGAGCAGGATGTTTCGCGCAAACTCCTTCCGAAATGGTTCGGACCATGGGAAGTCACTTTTGCCGTTGGAGACGACCCCGCAGGTCCTTCCTTCGTGATCAACATTCCACCGCACCTAATAGTGCATCGGGTCTTCCACGCATCGAAGCTAGCCATCTACACGCCACCTTCAGCTGACGAGTTCCCTGGACGTCGATCACAGGATCCGCCTTCTATGGAYGGACATCAGGAAGTTGACCGAGTCATCACGCACCGCAAGTATGGCAACAAGCCAAGGTAGTACAAAGTCACATTCAAGCAATGTGCGCCTGATGACACTCGGTGGATCTCCAGTACAGATTTGCAGACTTCTGCACCCCTCATCTTCGTTGACTATGAGAAGCGACGCCTTGCCAAGGACGCAGCTCGTCCCGCCCGACCCACCCCGGTATCGGACAGACAACTTCACCCTCGCAGGTAGCTCGGTCTTTTAAGAGGGGGAGTGTGTTACATCTTCGACGCACACGGGTCCTACCGGACCCGACTTAGGGCCGGAAGGACACATCAGGGCCTAAAGGCCCGACCTTGGGGGTATTACAGGCCCTAAAGGTCTGATCTTGGACCAGTACCCGACGGGCAGGCCCAAACGGCATTATCGTTTGGGCCTGGYGGCGCTCTTGAGGCTGCCGCCCGCCGKTYGGKGCTGAACCGTCCATCTGGACGGTTCAGGGCATGGCCAGGCCTCGCAGCATTGAGGCCGGCCTCCGCCCCACCGGTATAAATACCGGTACAGCCTCACTTGGAGGGATCGAACCACCGGCACTCTACCGGTGCGTTATGGTCAGCGCCAGAGCGCTGTTTTGATGCGCTAAGTGTAGCGCAGGAGCGAGCAAGGAGCAGCAGCGGCAGCACAGCATTAGCGCAGCTGCAAGCGGAGCAGCAGCAGGGCGACTGAGCCAGCACGGCGGCCATTGCCGCCTGCTCTCTCTCTCCTGGGAGCGGAGGACCTCTCCTCCCTCCCTCGTCAGCTCTCTCTCTCTCTCTCTCTCTCTCTCTCTCCTCCTCCTTCTTCTTCTTCTTCTTCTTCTTCTTCTTCTTCTTCTTCTTCTTCTTCTTCTTCTTCTTCTTCTTCAGACTAGAGACTTATACTAGTTGGACAGAGATCAGAGTTGGACTTCGGTGATATGAGACTGTGGTACTTACCTGATTGGAGACTTGGAGATTGTTGAGGTTGATACTCGGCTGCAGCACAGTTGGACGCCGGTTATATCTGGACTCTGTATCTCCGACATTGGTGACCTATGGGCCTCGACATTTTGATCCTGTTGTATGACATTTTGGACTACCATATCGGAGACCTATCAGACTCTATCTATCGGTGTTGTCTACCTCCCCACCTCCTTCGTCTCTCCTCCCACCTTTCATCTGTGAATGCGTRTACGGGATCTGGGCATCGTCTATGAATGGCCCAGACCCCACAATCTCACGATTGTATGTGTGTGGAGTGATGCTATGTGAGTCAGTCTATGTGAGTCAGTCCGTTTATCAGACTTCCGCTGCATATATGCTCATCCTACATTGGTTGATCTTTGGTTCTGCCCATACTCATTGAAGTATGCAACACCCGGGCTACCCCTAGGACAGACAGGCCCTAAAGGCCTATGCTGATAGACGGTCCTATAGCCTATAGCCGGGTAAGGTAGAGGCCGAGAGGCCGAAACTGAAACGGTACCGGTCGGTCCAGTCAGTCTGGCCTAGGTCGTGTCTATGCTAGTGTAGGTTATAGATAGGATGAGCACATCGGTTCAGGGCTTTTGACAGTTGGTACCGAGTACATCGCTGCTGCGCTACGCATGAACCGGAAGTGGTGACGGCTCAGCGTTGAGGGAGACAGACATAGCCCCTTCGCAGCGCCGGCCATAGCTGGGACCTGCGCTGTACTCTGTCAGCACGAGGGGCTGAACAGAGGTCTGGGCTATTCGAGGTCTGCTGGAGGCGAGAGAAGTTGGTGCCCTGCTGGACCCTCCTCCGGAGTGGGGTCACAGGGTTGTGGCGCTGCAGCCATAGCTGCATCTTCTTCCTCAGAGGTCATCTTGTCAGGAGTGGTGGCGCTGCTGCGGACTTCCACCCAGGAAGTCTTTCGACACTTCATCATCATCAGATACTGTGGCGCTGTCTTCTCTTCACCCTCTGAGTGGCGCTCGGCCTCAGAGGCCTGTTTCAGGGTGGCGCTGTCCTCTGGAGGCAGTACTTGGGTGGCGCTTGATGTTTAAGGGGCTCAGGGGTGTTCCGAGTGGTTACTCAGGGTTGGGGAGTGAAGCGCTGCTCACCTCTGAGCAGCACACTGTGGTTCTGAGGTTATCCTGACAATTCGAGACTTTGAGTTTAATAAACAGTGTGATACTGGGTTTGGACTATCATCGTTTCATTGCTTCCTGGATGTGATCTACTCGGCTTTTCTTTACGACTGGTTGTGAGGATTGAGAGGAGTGAATTGCACTTTCAGTGTACCCTGTCATATCGCATGGTCAAGTCTTCCGCTGTGTTTATCTCTCCCTGTGCGGTGTGATACTCCTATCCTCTCCCCTTCCTTCTGTGTATGTATGGGCATACCTGGAAGTCTATGCGTGCGAGTGTTGGTCTTCAGACAACAAACAACCAGAATCATAACATAGGGATTCAACATTGGTTCATTGTTGATGATGATGAAGACTATTCCAACATTGTCACCTCTGAGCTTCTGCTGTGCGCTTATTTGGTTGGAACTCGAGTTGCAATTCTGCCTTTGGTTTGAGGTCAAGAGTATCTGGTTTCATGTGTATGACGCTGCTTGGTTTCTGGAATTATCTTTTGCTCATTTTCCTTGCTCTTTCTGCGCTCTTCCAGAGGACCCCAAATCTGGGCTCTTTTCAATTTTTGAGAGTTGGCTGTCAAGGGGGGGCAGGGGGGTATAAATTTGTTGTAAAGGGGCTAAGGGGGTTTAAAGGGGGGTGCCTTAGTGTGATTTTGTTATTTTCTTTTTTATCTCTGCTTCGGTGAGGAATTCTGATGTGACCCTTAGCCAAAAGTTGTTTGTAATAACTTTGTATTGCAATTCTACACAACATATTTATTTTCCGTTTTTTTTTTTTTTTTTTTTTGCTGGAGCTGCCCTGAACCCTGCCCGGGGGTCATGCCCGGCCGCGCACCCGGCCGTGTATCTGGGCACAATTGGGTAAAGTTCTTTTTTTTTGTTGTTCTTTTTTTTTTTTTTTTTTTCATTTCCTCCTGGGGAAACCGGGATTTGGACCTGTGACTTCTGTCAAAAGGGTAGCCCATACCATTATTCAATTATTGTATCTGCCTGGTTTCGTCAGAATTCGAACTCATGACCTGTTCTTTACCTGCAATTGCATATGCATACTACTTGGCCACATTGAGTGGGTGCTGCACTGACTGATGCCACAGCCAGCACAGGTAAAAAGAAAACGACAGTCCTTAGAGAAAATTCAAAATCTTTGTCTGTGCATTGTTGGGAGCAGTCAACATTTTGACAACGGATGGGAGAGAAATCATATTAATAGGTCCGTCGGGACATCCGTTAAAATTGTGTGAGGCACAAGGCCTCGATACGCCCTACCGGGCCCTATTTTCAGCACAGTCGGCCGCCCTAAGTGAAGGCAGGCTCGACCGAGGCCACAGGCCATTTTTGGGGTCACCACGCAACTGGGGAAACTCAGGCAGCGCCAGTTGGTTAAGAGCGCCCAGGCCCAGGCTACCTTTATCGAATGCAACTAAGGCAGGCCCTGAGCCAGATACGCAATGTGGACCGAACACAGGCTGCGGACAGTTGGGCACAGGTAACCATCACAGGCCCTGGGCCTGAATTCGTTTGGTCTGAGGCGCAGCCTCGTGGGTCCTACCGGAAGCTTCTGAGCAGGGGCCCAGCGCAGCCAGGCTGCACGCAATCAGGCAGGCATTTCCATTCAGGAAAGTGCCTGCCCACGCATTTGGCATTCAGGCGCTGGCTGCATGCTGCGCTAACGCTGGCCAGCCCTCACGCGCTCACGGGCGAGAGAAGATTAGCATGGCCCCTGTGCAAGGATAACACGCAGAAATCAAGAAATGGTCCAAAAAAAAAAAAAAAAGAAATCATGTTAATACCAGTCTACCAGAATTGGCCAGGACCACTTCCCCGACCGGGCCAAAAAAAAAAAAAAAAAAAAAAAAAAAAAGTTTCAAGTTTCAACTTTAATTTTTATAATTTTATTTAAAATTTGGTAAAGAATTTCGATGTGACCCTGACACAAAAGTTGTTCAGTTTATTTTTCTGCATAACAATAGGTTTTTTTTTTTTTTTTTTTAGGACCTTTTTTGGTCCTTGCACGGCCGGGCTGCCCGGGGCAACAGGATGACCCGGGCGGCCTGTCTGGTAGCCTAGGATTAATATATATGACTTTCTCTGACTAAACAGTCTGTCACAGCCCCCAGCTTCTTGTCCTTTTCTTCCTTTCTGCGCACGATTCACTGGGTCAGTTGACTCAGTTCTCTATGATGATGATATATGACTCTCCCCTTTTTTCGTTCTTTTTGCACCTTCTTAAACTCTTTTGCAGGTCTGATTGTATTTGTCATCTCCGTGGAAATCGATGGGACCATAGGTGGGTCACGAGGATATCCAGTATGGGGATGATTAGTGCAGCACAAGTGGACACGTATTTGCAGGATGATGATCCTGGCTCTGCACTTGCTCTGCTGGAGGTAATCAGTACATGCCTGTTATTATTTTCCACAGGTCGTTGACAGTACGATTGCGTTTTTATGTTTTGCCAAATTTGCCAGATGGAACTGAAAAGTTTAACTGTTTTTGAGAAGAGCTACACCCACTGAAAACTGAAGTCATAATGAAACTACAAGCCTGTGTTGTTGAGGGGGGTGGGGGAAGGGAGCAAGATTATCGGAAGAGACTTGAAAACCAAAGTAAAAAAGGACTACACCTACTGAGAACCAAGAAGTGCCCAAGGAGGAGAAAAGAGCTTCCAGGTCTCAGCAGCTGAGTCCTCGTAGTCAGAATGGCTTTCTTGATGAGTCTGTGGGGTTGGATTATTGGACATCATCACTTGGAGGGGGACTTTATAGCTGGGAATGATCTTGTTTGCTTTCATATCGGTCTTATGCAGTTAGTTGTGATGTGAGCTGGGGATGTGCATGTGTGTGTGTGTCTGTGCTGGCATACGTGTGGGTGAGAGCATGCACACATCCATCTGACCGGAGGTGTGGGCATGACACCTGTGTTTGCATTAATCTACATGCCCAGAGACACCCACCACACAATGCATGGACAAAACAGCAAACACGCACACACAAAATGCGTACCAAAGACCTGCAGACCACTCAAGCCGCTCAAATTTTGAAAGTCCTCGACGAACCACACCCCATTATTTGTGGCTGACATCCTTGGCAGTCATCGTCTATTCAGCGGTATCATGATAATAAGGACCTTCTCTATCTAATCAATCGAAAATCCGATCCATTCGGACCCAAGACAATTCGTAACTTGTTTACGTTTTCTCTGTTTCGCCTTACCATCAATTCAAACTAAGCGAATGTCCATGCAACGACCTGGGCCCACTAAACAAGAAGTGTGAATCCAAATGTATGCATGCATGTGTGTGTGTGTGTGTGTGTGTGTGTGTGTGTGTGTGTGTGTGTGTGTGTGTGTGTGCGTGCATGGGTGTTGAATGCCTTTGTGTGTGTGTGTCGAATCAACTTGGATGCCTTTGTGTGTGCAATTGCACCCAGTTTTCCCTATTGTAATATGTGTCACTGGTAATTCATGTCTGACAGGTCATGACAAAGCTTGTTGTCTCAAAGGATATATTGCTGGCTGGTCTCTACTCTCAAGAGGCCCTGAACCAGCTGGGAAATAAGGTATGCGCCTCAGCAAACAACGAGGATTTGAATCTTATGTTGCATTCAGGCATGTTCTTTGCTTTGACTGGTTGTTATAGAAATGAGCTGTTGATGTTCTCTTATTCCTGGCCATAAGTTTGACTCTTAAGCCGTGATCTTCCCACAACATTATCCATCTGCTGGTTTTGGAGCAATTCTTTGAGATAAATGCAGTGGCCTTTTGTTCGCTTTTACGCCACAACGTCACGATATCATGTGTCAGTGTGAGTGGCACATCCTTATTGCATAGAAGCACACCTGATTGCCTGATCTGTAACTCTTTTCCTTCGCCCCCCATGCTCGCCCCTCAGCGCCCTCCACCCTCGCCCGTGTCTGGTTGTCTGATGGGTACCTACTACCTATACACCTTTTCTTTGTATTCAAATGTTCTAGCAGCATGTTATTGTAGTTCTGATGCTGTTGGTACAGGTGCAATAAATGGACCAGTTTTTGCAGGTACAATCAAAGCAGCAGGTTTTTGGTTGGTACAATAAGTGGATTAGGTTTTTTGTTATATTCCGGTCTCTTTCTCATTGTAGGCAACGTGTATATTGCCAGGTTGACATGCTATTAGTTGGATGGGAGTCCGAAAAACACATTCAGATTCCTTTCCCTCTCAGTAGGACCTGCATTACCTCTATAGATTCTAGTATGGAGTCTGTACGGCTACCTGGCTGTCTCTCTGCCACAGCGCAATTTGATGCGTGCATCTATTTTGGTGACAAAGACCTGCATGCCGCCATGGTGAGGGATCGCTCCCTGAATCATGTTGATGATCGATGCACTTAAACCACCAGTGCCTGTGAGGCACTTTTCTCTGGGGCTGGAAACGCGCTGCGCACCCAGCGTGGGCCTACTTTTGGCTGCTTCCGCCAGCCATTTGGCTCCGGCTGCCGAGCCCCTAAAGTTGGGGCCGATTGCAAGCCACAACTTTGGAAAAATGGTTGGTAAATGTACTGGTAATTTAAATGTGCTATTGCCTGGTTAAATTTCACCTTCACACAACAGGCTGGTTTAGGGTGTACTAAATAGAACGGAAACCACATTGGGAAACCGGGATGGACCTGTGGTGGTTGTTTGTTACTGATGGATGGGACTGAGACATTCAAGAGTGATACTGCATTTGTTGGGGTCTGTGGAGCTCCGCAGTGGGTGACCGTGCTTCTGAGATGGGATGTATCAAAAGAAGCGCGCCGGTTTGCTTTGAGTCTCCTCAAGCGATTGCAATCATCAGGTGCGTTTATGGTTTTCACCTCCTACAAACTTCCCATGATTTTGCGGAATCCTGTGATGGTTTTGTGTTATGCGTTCTACGTTCTCTGCTTGTGCAGTGCTCCTGCTCTTGGTCATCCATCACCTGCTTGCTAGCTCTGTTATTCTCCCACTAGCTGGTTACTCTTTTCTCCCAGTCCTTGAGACACTTGATTTGGTTGATGTTAGGTTTGGATTTTTTCGGCTCTTCTATTTTTTAATGAATATCAGTGTTGCACCCCCGACATTCGGTTGCCCTTGACTGGTCGGCTGCCGACCCGCCAACCTATCGGCTGGTCGGCACGTACCAGTCAGGGGTCACCCCCATAGCGGCCCCCAATACCCTCATACACCCCCCCAACACCCCCAAACCGCCCCCAACACCCTTATTACCCCCCCATACCCCCCTATACCCCCCTATACGCCCCCTCTACTCCAACCCCAACCCCTCCATGCCCCTCCCCTCCCCTAAAATTTCTCAGCGGATTTGGGCTGTACTCAGCAAGCGCAGTACAGCCCCCAGCTCAGATTTGAAAAACAATCAGTGGATGGTTGTTTTCTGACTGGTCAGTAGACCGCAGACCGGTCGGCCCTACTGGTCGGCTGCAATATGGTCAGCGGTCGTGGTCGGCGGTCGGCAGGGATGCAACCCTGATGAATATAATAAAGGTGTAGCCCCTGACCTTATTGTAATCGAGCTGATTATGACAGGACTCGAACTCATGGTCTGTTCATGAACAGTTACATGTCTGTGCTGTCTGCTCCCCAACAGTTACATGTCCCGAGTGACGGGTCCCCAGAAATCGCTGTTTTTTTTGTCAAATAGAACGTACGGTCGAATAGAAGGTACGTACATTGTGTTCAAATTCTTAGAAATTTGAAAGTTCGAAAGACGAAAAAAAAATTAAAAAAAATAAAAAATCCCAAAAAGAATGTTGTAGTCCAAAAAAGTGAAAAAGGGAGGCGCAACTACTGGCAGGTCTCGGTCTTTGTGTTAGCCAGACCCCCACTGGTGGCCCCAACCCTATACCCTAAACATTAGGGGCAAGGGGCAACATGAAATCTCCCCGTCACAGTGAGAGGAAACTATGCTTGCAGGGGTCCCCTCTAGATAGCCTTAGGAGTAGGTTTTGAAAGGCAAAAAACAGAAGTTGAGAGAATAATATAGAAAGGAATAGGAAAAAAAAAGAAAAAAAAAAAAGTCTAAAAAAGATAACCTACCACGCAAAAGGTGAGGGAAATTCGATCTCTTGACCTTTAACGAAACGGAACTGTGCAAAGGGACAGAAAGAGAAGGGAGGAAAACAAAACAAAACATGACCCCTGACCTGGAACTGCAGCGGGAACCAGTTTTTTTTGGTCCTGCGGGTGAACAAGGACCATGTCCAAGTAATCCCCCTCAGCACTCAAACAGCTTCCCCTATTATGTGGATACCTAGGAAGATTTTCATGACCGGCCGGTCACCCGGGCGTGACGCCCGGGTGACCCGGTCATGGCCAAAAATAAAATAAAATAAAGTAAAATAAAATAAAGTAAAATAAAATTTAAAAAAAAAAATGGCGGTGGGGTTTTTCTGCGCTTTCCGAGAGGAGCCCAAATCCGGGCTCTTTTCTTTAAAAAATATATGATATATATATATATAAAAATGGCGATGGGGTTTTTCTGCGCTTTCCGAGAGGAGCCCAAATCCGGGCTCTTTTCTTTTTTTAAGTGTTGGCTGTCAAGGGGGGGAAAGGGGAGTGCACATAGATTTTAAACGGGCTAAAGGGGTTTAAAGGGGGGTGCCTTAGTTTGATATGGTTATTTTCTTTTTTATCTTTAGTTCTGTGACGAATTCTGATGTGACCCTCAGCCAAAAGTTGTTTGTATTGCAATTCTGCACAACATGATTCTTTTGGATTTGATTTCTTTTTTTTTTTTTTTTTTTTTTTTTCCGCTGGGGCTGCCCGGGGCCATGCCCGGGGGTCATGCCCGGCCGGTCACCCGGTCGTCAATCCGGGCGTGACATCGGGACCCGGGCGCCCGGGATATCTCCCTAGGTGGATACTAGATAGATAAAAAATGAACGCATGTCCAAGTAATCCCCCTCAGCACTGAAACAGCTTCCCCTTCAGCCTCACTCCTCTCTCTCTCCTTTCTTGGTAGGGAACTAGCGATGGTGGAACATCCCTGCAACCAGTGGATGTTGAAAGGACAGGACAACTATTAGGATGCCTCTCCTGGCCCGTGCTGCCCACGTGAAGTCCAAGACCAACGAGTACCCCACAAGGGGGCTTCTAGATGATGTCTGCCTTCTCCCCTCTCCATAGCCTGGCTTGAGGTACTTCTCCCTCTACCTTCGTAGCCTAGGCCTACACCATACCACTACTAGTACTGCTCCACGGTCATGGAGGTCTTCCTCTTCTCTCTCCAGCTCCGCCACTTCAGCCTGAGGTGTGCATAACTCACCGTCTGGGTGGAGCCGGGCAAATGTGCCGGCCTACTCGTTGCACCAAGTACACTCTTGACTCCCGGCCTCCAGCTCTTCCCTGGCCAGGTACTACTGCCTCCACCGGTGCACTTGGCCTACCGGAAGTTCCTTCGCTTTATCGCATAGAGACATGGACACACAGAGGCAAACAGCACTCACACTCATAACACGGAAGTCTCAGTGAAAATCAAGCCACAACCAACAGCAATACTCAGAAAACTGCAGAAAGTTAGAGATCTCGTTCTGTGCGAGTCATTGCAATGTAACGAGTAATACCATGGAGCATCTCACTTTTTCTAAGTGCTATTGTACATTGGACAATGATGATGCTTATTGTGCTTGGGGAAACCTGGGCCTCTTTGCTGAATTTGGAAATTCGCTACACTTCTGGTTGGCATCTACTGCTGAGATGAAGTAGGTGACGTTATAACTGTGTAGTCATTGTCTCTCGAGAGAAGCTAAGACTGTAAAAGTGTGCGTAAAGGGCCAGCAAGTTATTTTGCCGAACATTGTGCATGGCGGCAACGGTAACAGACTTTGATCTTGGTTATCCCATGGCTTGGCTGCTGCTTGTCATCAATGCCAAATTGCAGTTGCTCTTGCAGAGAGATTCTCTGATTCCACATTCAAAATAGCGTTGCGAGCTGCTGCAGATGGCTGGGAGAAGCCTGAACTCAAGGTAAGTTTTCCAGAGGAGAAAGGTCTCAAAAACTTGCAGAGGAAATGAAGCAATAACGAATATCAACGATGATAATAATCGACACAAGAAGGGTGGCCGTTGTGTGTACATAGGGTTCAGCCTCCTGATGAGTCGGTGAAACTCTGACGAAACAGTTTGTCACAGCCCCTCGTTTGTTGTCCTCTTCTCTCTCTCTGCCTACGGTTTTACCGGGCAGTTCTGTTTGCGACGATATATATGTGATAAACTCTTGAATCTTGGTAATTGTTTCTGGTTTGAATCTGGTGTACGTTACTGCACACTTGATTTGAGTATTTGTTTGAAAAGTTGAAGACAGAATAAGGAATATTGAGCCCCCCCCTGGTGGGTCTTGGCAAGATTCGGGAATCTGGCCATTCCTCGCTACCGTCTTCCCCCGAACACAACGCACCCTCATTTTGCCAGTATCTGGCCGGAAATATAACTTGTATACGTTCATTTTAAGGGTGCGTTATGTTCGGGGGAAGACGGTAGGGGTTAGGAACCTAGGTACTGCTCCCTGCACAGAGTAGAGTATTTGGGTCGGCACTTCCTAGCCAGTTTCCTTTTACGAGCGCAATGCATGCAGCGTGCATTGCATGGAGACATTGCATGCATGTGGCGACTCTGGCGAGTGAATACATTGTTGAATAATAAAATGTGGCGAGCATTGTACATGAGAGGCACAGTAAAGGGGGAGTGAAAAGAAGACATGAATGAGAGACCGCAAAGCAATCCGAAGGAAGGAAAGCAAGAACTGCACGGCAAAAGGCAGAATAATGGTTTCAGTGTGCTCTGCTTTGTCCACTCTTCTGTTTGTTTGTTTCACGAAACGAGATCTTTTTTCTTGATACATATGTGACAATGTGTAGTTTGACGGCTTCTCGAATACTAAATGACGAATTTTGTTTTTCTGATGCGCTCTTGCTGGTTACTCTCATTCTCTCTCTCTCTTTCTTTTTTTTTTATATTTTTTCAGAAAAGATAAAGAAAAGAAACAGGGCCTTGTGGTGCTGGCTCCATATCCATTCTGGTCTCATTCTCTCTCTCTCT